CACCTCTGGTCTGGTACACCTGTTATATATTTAGAGATCTTTGATAAAATTTAAACAAACATATGTAATGTTTTTGGTCCTGATCTGGCATCTCGTCTCCAGTCTTTTTCCCACCGTTTAATGTAGCTTCCCTGTGCCTTTTTTATAAATACTTTCATAGCATTTGTTCGGATGAACTTTCCTCTATGGTACTTCGACTTTATGAATTTAAGCGCAGTACTGAATTGGCAGATAGGTCTTATCATTTTTACAGAGAAATGGATAGGTGTAATCTTAATTTCTATGCTAACTGTTTCTTCTACCGCACTTCTCCCTTGTGGAACTCTCTTCTTGCTTCCCAGTCAACTTGATCTACAAAAATATAAATGCAATATCATTCGTTATCGTGAATATTAATTCTTGTCCATTTATTGTTAATAATGTTTTTGATTTTTTTATATTCTCAAACACTCAGTAATCCCTTGCATCTTAGTGGCTTTATTGCCTTGCTTTGGGTGAAATGTTTTTTAAAAATATTGTCTATGGTGAACTTGAGTCGTAACAGATATTCACTGCATAGAGCCTCGATGATATAATAAACGTTTCGACTCTCTTACTCATTCATGTATTTTATTTAAGGCTTTTTATTCAACAATTTTATTTGTTCTGTGCAAATGTTAAATGTTGACTGAACGAAACCATTTGAAGAAAACAGGCACAGTTCGGCAAAGGGTCTGCTAGAAAGGGTCTGCCGACGGATGTCTATGTCCTTTTTGTGTATGATATTTTGCAAACACGTTGACTGCTGACCTGAGATGGAACAAATATGTATTTGTTCCATCTCAGGTCAGCAGTCAATTGCTTCGTCCACCGTAAGGTAATTTTTTCTCCCCGGAATTGATCGTCCAGATCTACAAATCAGCAATCCCCCCACTGCATGGAGTATTGCTGCCATATATGGTCTGGAGCCCCTTCTGTTTGCCTCGGGGTTCTTGATAAGCTCTAGAGGCGGATATGCAATATAATCGGCCCCATTCTGGCATCTCGTCTACAGTCGCTCTCTCTGTCTTTTTTTACAAATACTTTCATGGCAATTGTTCCGAGGAGCTGTATTCGCTGGTTTCCAAACTTCTTGAGTTCAAGCGCCCTACGAAGCTGGCATCCCGCTCTCACCCTTTCACTGTCGAAACTACTAAATGTAGTCGTCTCTTCTACTCCAAAAGCTTCATGTCTTGCACCTCTCGCCTGTGGAACTCCCTTCCCTATTCCAGTTCCCCTGAGAGCTATAATCTCCAACTATTCAAATGTAATGTCAATCGACATCTCCAGTTGCCTTAATCTATCCACTATCCTTCTCCTCATCATTTCCTCTATCACTCCTATCTGATCTTGCTCCAAATCCTCCGTAACTTCTTGTGTGCTAGTGGCTTCCCGCCTTGCTTGGGGTGAAACGCTTAAAAAAATATCTGCATCTCTCAAGCTGAACTGACTAGCCATATGATTAGCCATACACACGCAGACCACCAACTGACTAGACAAGTCTAATTTCTCTCGGTTTATCCAAAACAATTTGTTATTAAACTATGTAGAAGCAGATCCTGATTGGCTAGATTAGATAAGCGAAAAGTTACAATATCAATATAAAATCCAATATGCAATAAAAAAAAGATTCCAAAACAGGAAAAATGTAAATATCTTGAAGGGTTTCAGAATCGCTGTAGATTATACATTTGATAAGTTACGTATAGATATTTCATCGATTTATTTTCGATAATATGCATATGCTGAAATTCATGACATAAAAACATATCCTGAAAGTTATGACATATATACATATCCGGAAATTTATCACATATATACCTATCCCGAAATTGAAACACACACACACACACACACACACACACACACACACACATATATATATATATATATATATATATATATATATATATATATATATATATATATCCTGAAATTTATGACATATGTACATATCCTGAAATTTATGACATATATACATATCCGGAAATTCATGAAATATATACATGTTCTGAAATTCATGACATATATACATATATCCTGAAATTCATGACATATATACATTTCCTGAAATTCATGGAATATATACATATCCTCAAATCTACGTCATTGCAACCCGTCTTTCTATGTGATTCGCACGTGATTTGTGAATTTTAAATCATACGCTAATTTAAAAAAAAAAGCTGTGCGAACAACACAGATATATATGCTGTTTATGTATTTTGTACAAAACACTAGTGATTCGATAGGCCCAGGAGTGGAAATTTTGATTTGGAAAACCGACGACGTTCCAAAACACTGATTAAAAATAAGTTTAAACATACAAACACGATTCTTCGCAGAGTCTACTATTGCGCTTAAATTCATTCAGTCGATGTGCCATAGCGAAGAGATCATCCGAACAAATACCATGAAAATATTTGTAGTAAAGGTGCAGAGAAGCAACCTTAAGGCGGTGGTCAAATGAATGATCCGAGCCGCCATATCAGGACTAATAATATTGCTGATTCTTCTTTGCATTTTATTAAGGAGCTCCAGGTAAATAGCAGGGGCACCAGACCATGTATGGCAACAAAATTCTAAGCATAGGTGAATGGTAGAATTATAGACGTGCAAGATAGATTCCGAAGAGAAAGATTGTCTCACCTAACACAGTGAAGCGACTTTCTTAGCAGTTTACTATCGAGTAAATGAGAGTGTCTTCAGCGTAGATGACAAGATGAGAGTTGTTGTTATCGGGAAGGTCGTTAATGAAGATTAAGAACAGCGTAGGACTAAAGATGGAGCCCTGGTCAACACCCACGTAAGTACGAAAGGATGTAGATGAGTGGCCGTTCAAAACTACGATCATTTCGAGATTTGATAGGTACGACTGTATCAGCTCAAAAACGTGCCCGGAAATACCATAACTTTTCACCTCGTAGAGAAGACCTGAATGCCAGGCCCCGTCAAAGGTTTTTGAGATGCCCAATGCTACAGTCCGGACTTCGTAGTTTTTGTCTAGAGCATAATATACTCTTTCCGAAATTTTATAAGCAGATAGACCTGGAGAAACGAAAGATGTATTGTTTATCTGAGAAAAAGTCCTCGGATGAGAGGAACCAATTCAGCATTGATTAGGGCTTTTAGGAGTTTCCCAAAAAGTGGTAGAAGGCTAATAGTGCAATAGTTGGAAGGGTCAGACGTTTCACGCGAGTTCTTAAAAACTGAAAGAACAGATTATTTCCAGCAAGAAAGAAAGCAGGGTGCAGCGATGTATTTATTATACAGTTTAGAGAGAACATGATCGAGTTCAGGAGCACACTTCTTAATGACTATTACAGTAATGCCATCGGGTCCACATGTTTTGCGGGGATCAAGGTTAGAGATGATAGCAGAAATCATGGAATATAAGCATATCACTCAACAGAGGATCAGTTCTAAGTGGGAAGTTAGGCAGAGATATTCCAGATGAATCAAGAGTAGAGTTTGGTGGGAATTTACGGGCAAATCATTCAGATTTATCAGCAGAGGATGATAACACCTCAAATCAAGAGGGGAAATAGAGACCTTGCACTTTCTTAATCCCCTATTACAGAGACGCCAGTAATCACGTGAGCCAAAAATTTTAGAGGCTATGCAGTGTCACATTCTCTCAGGGACTTAGGAATGAGGTAAAGTATAGAGAAGCATCTTGCTCAGTTTGGCTAGAGAAACGAGTAGGGATTTTCAATAAGGGAATGGGCAATGGAAACATTAATTTCTGAACAGCGGCAACATCAGAACCTTTAGAATGTTTCAGCCACGTGTCGTGGGGGGCCTTAAAGTCGCCGAAGACAAAGATATTCGCAGATGGATGGAGAGGAAGTGCCTTTTCTTTAGTGTCAGCTATTTCGTCAAATATACTGCAGCCTTGGGAAGATGGGGTTAAAAATAAAGGTGAAGGAAATAGCTGACAGAGTTTAGCAGCGAGAGGCTGAAGCACATAAAAGAGTAGTCAACGGCCCCGAGAGACAATTCCCTGGCCATCGGAAGATTTTCCCAGGTGTAAACACCTTTATTTAGCTTTTAGAAGGCACGTTTACTAATCTTCTTATTTCTGTAAAATTTTCGATTTCTCTTATAACACTTCCCAGGCACATACACCTCTGTATTTGACTGATTCTAACGTCTCCAAATTATAGACCGTATCTTGGACTGTCCCCCTTTCTACAGACTATATATCTTATAGATAATAGTTAGTCTTTCACTCCCGCTTATTTAAAAAAAAAATGGAGAACTAGTTCGAATAATCGGAATCTAATAGTAAATTATCTCAAAATATCAAAAAGAAAATGTCGGTCAAAATTCAGTAATAAAGACAATAAGGATAAATTTATTTCGAATAAATCGTAGAAAAAGGATTTTTATATTATGTCCCATTCAGGATGTAGGCGATTACGGCTCTCCACTATTTCTTTTCTCTATATTCATATAACTGTTATTGAGAAAGATATCTGAGTGGTTTCTTGTTGTCTTGTCCATCGTTATATAATCAGTGTTATCTTCTCCTAGATTGGTGGCCAACCAAACCTAGAGAGATCAGTCTACCCTACTATTGTCCTAAGAATACTAATATGAAGTGAAAAGCAATTACCTCAGCCGGAAGCAAAAATCCGTTCCCCGATTCCTTTATACAGGCATTACGTCACGACGCACCTAGGAATAATGCTACTGCTATAAATGTAATGTCTAGCAAGACTTCAAATTGTTATTAGTTGTCGGCGGCCATTACAAGTCGAGATGGTGTACCAAACTTCCTAAAAGCGACACGCCGATGGTATCAGCGCTTTCTTTTTGTCGAAAGGTCTGCATGAGAGTAGCCAACAGGGCCACTGGCCATTTGCCTCGTGTAATGACCACTAGAAGACTGACTTGGATGTGGAGGGTGTTGGCTCCGGCCAGGTCAGTGCCGTTTATTCTTCTGGTCTGTACGGCTTGTACAGGGTCAGTGTTGACAGGAAATGTCAACTCGAAGAACAAGTATAGAAAAGGATGATGGCGATCTGCTTGTAGGAAGGGCTGTTCACCATTCTCTCTCGACCGACCTCATATGTCGGGCGAGAGAGAATTTCTTGAAAAAGAAACGTCACAAGAACGTGTAGGCATATGTTGATTAAGGAAGACACTGACAGGGAGAGTCAGTATTTTATTTCTTTTGTAATACATTTTCATAGCAAGCTTATCTGGATTTACTTGATTTGTTATAAACAAAAACCTATTGTAAAATAAACTGATCCAGATGAAGCGTTTCCCTTTCTTTTTATATGAAATTATGTTTTTCCTTTTCCATTATGAACATCCGGGCATCAGATATCAAACCTTAAATTTTTTTCAGTTTATTGCTCGGCATAATGCCATGTGTTAATAGTGATTTCCCATTTAAATCTGAATTTAACCACGTTTTTAGAACCATAAAATGGCAAACTAAGTCGGTGTATTCCGTGTAAAACAAATGCAACCTTCTTTATTACCCAGAATTCATTTGTGTTACAATTTTTATAAAATTGGGGTATAAAAATCGATAATAAATAACATTTTTCTTCTACTTCTTAATAAGAAATTCAATAAGTAACTTTATTAAAACTATGATAATTCTTATAATCATAAAAGTATATTTGTATTACACTAGACTTTTGAAAACCTCTTAAGTGTCCTTATCTGCTCAAACTGATATCCGAAAATATATTAGGTTGGTGCAGAAATAATGTCGTTTTTTGACGTTAAGTTGAACGTCAAAAGACGACATTATTTTTGCACCAACCTAATAATTACTGGTAAATCCAGAGAAGAGAATTTAAAGGTTTTCCTTTTCGCAAACTACGCTCTAACGTGTGCCTGAAATCTTTTACACTTATTAAAACATCAATTTTCTCAACTGTTTATTTTTTTACATTATTTACAGTCGGTCTAATTTCCTCATCTTTGTTGTTAGTATCACATTTTGGTCCGTTGGTCCATCAAACCGATTTCTGTTGATCCGGTTAAATTTCTGAAAATAAATAATGAAAACTCTACACGCGAGAAATTCAATAAGAATTTCTCAACTTTTGTCTGTCATTTCACGGAATTAATATAGTAGCATTTTGTTTACCTTTCCTGGGAAAGCGTATTACACACTTTTTGTCTATATATATATATATATATATATAAAAGTGAACATAGAAGTCAACACTTAGAGGCGACAGTCTGTTTCATGCTATATGCAATCGTCAGGCCACATATGCTGTTATTTTTCTCGGCTATTTATATATATACGGGTTAGTGGTGCATTGTGGGTATTCAAACCAAAACAAAACTGTTAAATAAGTGATATAAACAAATTTTTACTACGTTAATAAATAAATAAATAAAATAAGAAACAAAAAAATAAAAACGAGCAATATAATTTGACCCAAATAAATAAACAAACGACTTCCGGTAAAATAACCGCCATAATAGAATACCCACAATGCACCACTAACCCGTATATATATAAATAGCCGAGAAAAATAACAGCATATGTGGCCTGACGATTGCATATAGCATGAAACAGACTGTCGCCTCTAAGTGTTGACTTCTATGTTCACTTTTATATTTACACATGCTCTATCTCTGATATTGAGCACTTTATTCCATAAATATAGCACACCTTAAGACTATATTACTTTATATATATATATATATATATATATATATATATATATATATATATATATATATATATATATATATATATATATATATATATATATATATATTATTATGTACACAATTTATGTTATTCGGACTATTGTCCTCATCTTTGTTGCCATATTTATTCCAATGTTTCGGCCGTTGTACGCTCCGGCCTTGTTCAGGTGGTTGGAATGTCGAAGAACACGTGGCACAGTGGGTAAAGGCGTTGGTTAGATCCAGTGACAGGACCCAAAGAGTGTGAGTTCAATACCCGCTTAAGGCAGTGGAGAAATTGGAGAGGGGAATTAACAGGAAATAACTCATAACTGACATCCATCAAACAGTCTACCCCAGTGAGCGAAATAAAAGGTTCAGTTCGAACCTTATAATAAATATGGCGACAAAGATGAGTCCGAATAATGTAAATAGTGTACGCACTTCTTATCCATGTCCACTCTTCCATTTAATATATCATTGACTAGGTATTCATCAAGGTGGCTGGTGAAAAGACCTTTCCTCTTGGTTGTTATACGAGAGCTATAAGCGATTTGTACTCTACGAAGTGGGGTGGACCTAAAAGAAAAAATACAAATGTTTGAAAATTAAGATAGAAACATTTACTAATTAAATATCTTCATTACCATACAAATAAGTCGTCTTTAAGTTTGATGCGCTTCACCATTGGAGGCGTGTGGTGTTCAAACATCGGTTCTTGTCCGACCATCGAAGTTAAGCAACGTCGAGCTAGATGGGTGACCAAGTGCTGTCAGATTGTAAAATGCTGACGTCGTGATGGATAACGGAAAGGAATTGAAAGTCGGAGAGTCAAGTTCAAGTCCCAGTCTAGTTTGTTATATTCATTACAGGTAAACACCCTTCATTAAGGTATGAATCTGAATCTTCTCCCCACCCCTTGCAAGTATAGGTTAATTAGTAGAACTTAATCCAATAATCATCTCCAAAAACTTTAATCCAAACGTTATTTTCTGGTTTTAAATTAACTTCAAAAGCTTTAGAGTAATTTACTAAGCATAGCTGTGGCGCAAGGCCGAAAATACTGAGCGCCCAGTGAGGATTGAACTTACTAGGAATTGATCTAACGAGACAATCTTACTAACCATCACACTACGCCGAAGTGCCCCTGAAAAAGATTTCTAAGCCGTAAAAACAAATCACCCACTCACCTGGCTGCACGTGCATATAAATAGTCTCCTCAATCAACATGGCGTCAATAATTGGAGCCACACTGGCACCTCTGTAACAACAATATCATCTGCGTCGAACAGCTTCCTGAATAAATGCCGTTCGAGATGAAGCTACCATGTCTGGATTTTGGATGGTGTAAAACATTCTAAACTTATCGATGGCGCCAATTTTTTTTTCTTTCGTTTTCTTTTCAGGAAGGCCATATGTGGATTGGTGTTTTCCGTGCCACAAGATTATTACACAAAAATCTTGGTTTCGTTTGACGAAAACTCCCATTAATCAGTCCAGCATTTCATAGTAACTATCTAACATTTAAATGTCTAAACATGCTGCATGAATTCGACAAGCAACGAAAGTTTTGCATCTCAGAAAATAGCTGTTTTTTTCACTGACACTTGAACCTTCAGCTGGAAGTTTATATGACGATATGTGCTTAAGGTTTATGAAATCAACATTTACATTTGGATATACATGAATGCGCAGCGTGATGTAATGTATAATGGCATGGGATGAGAATTTGGACTTTCGAGTTTGCCTATTAAATTCACATACGAACAAATAAACTTGAGAAATGTGTGAATCCCCCCAGTTATGGGTAAAATAGCAGCATAGTCTTGGTTGGCAACCGGCCTATCGCAGACTACAACGTGAAATCTTCTACCTGGTCACTCAAGATTCAAAAAAGATATGATCGTCCCAGCGTGTATGTAGTATGACACATCAGCCGGGGAAAAAAGACGTCTGTCCAGCTGAATGTTCCCAAATATCGCTCCTCTCCAGGTCAGACCACAGCTCATGTCCTCGGATTTGAAGGTTCGCTTAGTCACAGACTCCCCGGCCAAGCGATGACTTGTTATCACAACCTTGGATAGACTGCCAGGAATTCCTTTCTATGAGCAGATTTAAATTGCGGCCGGTCGAAACTCACTATACGTACCGTATTTTGGCTGAATTCCTCACGGATGAGATCCTCGCCACAACTATAGATGAAATTGCCCGAATAGTTTGGTGCCAAAGAGATCATAACTTTTTTCTTCTTTTTTTTTTTTTTGCCGCTGGACTTAGGAAATATGTTATTATTATTCTTAGGTTGAGTCAAAAGTAATTACTGTTTATGACAACCTAATATTATTATTATTATTATTATTATAAAATCTCTTCGTGATATGAAAGATTATGGCTCTCCACAACCTCTTTTCTTGTGAGATAAGTCTTTGGAACTTTTCATCATCTATTAAATATTCTTACTCTATTTTAGAGTCTGCTCGCCATTAAACGCTGTAATCTCCAGTAATTTACTGGATTACGTGTTTTGTTAAGCATTATCTATATTTTATATATATATATATATATATATATATATATATATTCTAGCGGGACTGAAATGTCACTTGCGACTCACACACAAGGTTTAATAAACAAAGTTGTCAGAGCCTCATACGTTGAAACCGACGGGGAGAGACCATCATATATATATATATATATATATATGTATATATATATATGTGTGTGTGTGTGTGTGTGTGTATGTATGTGTGTAATTGTTTGAATTCTTATCGTACCAAAATCTTTCAGATGATTTTACAATTGTATGGCAGAGATGGTGTCAGAATTTTGACGTTTAATAATTTTTTTTCAGATTTCTCCTTGCCAAAATCTTGGTTACTATACCAGCTAAATAGGAAGAGATATTATCAAACCGTCCACATTAGGACGAGATATTCAACTTAGTACTTTAATATTACCACAAGAAGAGCGTTTTGAAATAAAGAAGGAAAAAATAGTACGCGTGTTTCTTTTTTTTTTTTTCTTTTTTTTTTCTCACCGCCGTAGCTTTCTTATCTTGTCTTTGATTTTAAAGGGACGAGACCCCAGAGGCACTAAGTACCTAATTTGTGCTACGATCGACTGATGCAAAAAGCCAGGAAGAAACAAATCTTCAAAAAAATAGAAAAGAAATGAAGAATTCGCTGTCTGCGTTTCCCATGAGATATGTTGTCTAACAAGGAATTCGGTTTGCCACTGAGAGGTGAGTTAGCTGTAAACGGATGAAATAAAAAAAAAAAACAATAAAATGTTTTATTTTCTTCCAAATACACAACTTTGTACTTTTTTTTCTATGTTACACTTTCTTCTTCTTTTACTTTTTATGTTTTCATCTTTTTTTTCTTTCTCCCTCTTTTCCTTTTTGCCGTTCTTGTTCTTTATTGTCCTCTTTTCTTTTTCCCCTCTTTCTTATTCTTTAACTTTGCCTCTCTCTTTCTTATTGTCACGATTTCTCATTCTTTCTCTCTATTTCTTTTACTCTTTTCTTTCTTTCTCTTTTTATTTGTCATTCTTTATCCCAGCTTGGGGTAATGGTTACCGAGCAAGTCTGGTTAACCCCACCTTCCCTCTGTATCCCACTTTCTTACATTTGCTCTTTATCTTCCTCTCTCTTTGTTTACCTCCCTCATTCTTTTTAACTCTCTCTCTCTCTTCAGTGATCTTTCTCTCTCTCTTCATATCTCTTTCCCTTCGTTACTTCTGTTTATTACTTTCTTCTTTCTTTCTTTTCACTTGTTTCGATTTTTTTCTTTTTTATTATTTTTCTTTGTTTCTCGTTCACTTTGTCTGTCCATCTCTCTCTCCCTCCTCTCTCTCTCTCTCTCTCTCTATCTATCTATCTATCTATATATATATATATATATATATATATATATATATATATATATATAAATTTCTCTCTCTTTATCTTTCCCTCTATCTCTCTTTTATCTTCGTCTTCTTTGTCTATGCTCTTCTTTCTTTCTTCATGAAACTCTCTCTTTCTCAGTCTGTCTCTCTATCCCTCTCTCTTTCCTACACATATTTCATTATATCTACTTATTCTGCTTTCTTTTACTTTCTGTCCTTCTCTCTTTCTTCCTTTATCTTTTCTTTTTCTCCCACCCTCTCTCCATATTTCTGTTACACTCTTTTTTATCTCTCTCTCTCTCTTCTTTTTCTTTGTCTCACTATTTCTGTCCTTGTCACGTCATATAACTATTCTTTTCGTATTACTGTTAATCAGTTGGAGTAGTCAGGCACAATGCCTTCAATAATGAGCACAACTCTGAAAATCGAATTCACTGCACCAAATCTTACTCAATCAACACCGTTCATTACTAAATTGTTTTAAGAAGCATAGCCGAACTATAACAGCTGTAGAATCGAAACACAAATTTAATAATGGCCTGTTTATAGTATGCGTAGATGTTAATAAATGTTTCCTTCGCCTAATGTTTTTATATATTTACACAATGTTAGCGCAAAGGGCGGCTTGAGGCGAGATTTACGCAACGGTGTCGTCAAAATCAAGTAGGTATGGAAATTGAATGGCGTCGTAAAGTAACAGATAAACTTGAAAGTTTAATACGGAAATCCAAAGGCGCGTAGGAATAGTAAAAGATAGTTTCACAGAAACAGCTTATGTTATTAAACGTAACTTAAACGTGGTACAAGGTCGAAAGTATTTGGCACCCAGTGAGGATCGAAATAACTATTCAGTCATAATTGATCTTGCGATACAAATTTACTAATCTTTACAGCACATTGAAATGCCTCAGAACGGCTATGTAATGTTTACTCTCCTTTATGACAGTGAAAGGTGAACGGTTTCGTTACAAATGAAAAAGAGATATGAGGCAACCAATATGAGTGATCGCCCAATGAGAATCGAACGCCATAATAAGGCTTACTTATTATTAAATATTAATAATGCTATTGACTGGAAAAAATGCGGTTTAAGTATAAGCGAATGCATGAACAAAGACAAACAAGTCTGTTCAACGTGCATTTGTGAGGGAATTCGTTAAAAATGCACCAACGACAATCCCCAGGAAACTTTCACTGAATACAGGCTGTAGCGTGAATGTCAGTAAATCGAAGAAATGGCAAGTTCATTTTAACGCCTCTAAAACATCTCTCGGCTAAACTTCTTAAAGGACTACCATGCCTTTTATCAGCATGACTGATGCTAAGCTCCAGGATAGCAAAACTCATTCTTGCTCTCCCGTTTTCAAATCACATCATGTGAAACGATTATATTGAATCTTTTCTATATCACTTTGCTACCAATGTCCGTTCTCTATGTCATGCTAGACAATTTTTCTAGCCAGAATTTATCATGCACATTTATAATTCTACTATTCATCTGTGCATGAAATGTTGCTGCCTCATTTGATTTGATGCTTCTGCTATGTGGCGTTTCTCAACTGGGGTTCCCCGGAACCCGAAGCTTCCGCAAATGCTCCCCAAGGGCTCCCCAGGAGAGATAAGCTAACGCACTTTTTTACTTTTGATTTCATTTCATATACGTAATATTACTAAACACACCCAATATATTCTTGGTTATTGTAATAGGAAATTTTGCCTTGATTTACCTTATGTATTTTCAACATTGTCAGTAAAGGATAAAAAAATAAAAATAACTAATGCAGCAATTATCTGTTTTCATTCTGTTTACATTTATATATATATATATATATATATATATATATATATATATGATATTGGTTACTTATGTTTATTTTTTACGTTTCAATGTGGAATTTTTTGTGTGAATGAAAATTCCATGATGAAGTATTATAAACGAAGAGTATAGATTTTATTTAACATTACCGAATAATTTGACAAAGAAGTATAAATTTTTCCTTGAACCAGTTATTCCAAAATATATACTTTGATATTTACCACGTGAACTACGACGAAAATAAAATGAGAAAGATATGGTAGATAATTTTGCTTTTGCCCAGGCGTGCCTTGAGACATGTAATTTATTTTAAAGGTTACGCAATGGTAAAACGGTTGAGAAACGCTTATCTAGAGATTCTTGACAAACCTTCAGCAACGTTATCGGTCCTGACCTGGCATCTCAGGTTGTCACCTTCCTACCACCATAACATAGTTTTCCCTGTGATTTTTGTATAAATATTTTAACAGTAGCTTTCCTCAAATTGATTGTACAAATGGGGACTATTTAGAACTTCATAGAGACTTTGAGGTGACTGAACTAAGACTGGTAAGTTAGAATGTGTTGTTTTGTGTAAGGAATACTGTGATATGTTTGAGTCAATAATCGTGGTTAGCTAATTTGAAGATAAGACAGAATGAAGACCAGCCTTCCCCTACCACAGTTTGTGGCCTTGTGCAACATTTTTGTATTTTTCAAAATAAATATCACTTTTCTCCTTGTTCTCACAATTTCACAAATTTACGCGTCGTACTAGATTAGGTATGTACTGGGTCTAGTAATTTTAGTGTCGAAATTGCTAGTTGGAATCGTATGTTGTATGAACCGGAAGTGTTCTATAAGCCGGAAGTAAGTTCCATACTTGAGAAGCGAGAGCGAAACTATTAGAGTTTTTGTCGCACTTCTCGCTTTTAGAATTCTTTTCCGGCTTCATGCTTTCCTGTCAACTAAGATCTTCAAAAATGTAAATGCGACATCAATCGCCATCTTCTGTCACCTTGAGTCGTTTTTTTTGTTTATTATTTTATTATTATTATTATTATTATTATTATTATTATTATTATTATTCCACCAGTTTTCTTTCACTTTAACTTTTTTAAAAATCATTTTTACCCCAAACAGGGCTTTTATCACCATGCTTGGAGCAAAAATGATTTTAACATGGCGGTGGCTCTCATCATGAAAAATTCGAAAATATGTTTTGAAGAGGAAAATAAGAGAGGAAACACGCAATGGATAAACATCCCTTTTATTTTTAGTCTTTAATACCGTGAAAAATTAAATATTTTAGTGAAATATACGTACCATAATGAGATTTTAATGGATATTAGAATATAACTCACCCCACAAAAATAGATAGAGATGGCTGTACTACGGTGTCGTATTATACTCAAGGATTTAAAATATTCCCTGAGTTTAGCTTCAGAAGCCCGGGATCGTTTAATACTCAAGTCGAATTATTCACAAGAAAATACGGTAGTAAATATACTAACAATAACTGGATTTGAGAAATCTACTTTCCTGAAAACTGTTTTAAATATTGCATAAATTTTAATTGGTCGTAAGGCTAAGTGTCCGGCCAATGAATGCTAACTGTTTCCCTTATAAGGAAATGGTTAATCTCACGATTACAATTTCCATATTGCATTGTCACACTGTTTATACGATTTGTATCTTAGATGAAATAATATTGAATTTATAGACCAGTGACTCTGTTAAAATTTACGTTATATCAACAGTGAACATCATTATCTATATCTGTCTGCCTGTCTCTAATTTTCATATACGAAATGTGTCGGAAAAATATCCATCTTGAATATCCTGAAAACCAGTTGTTTGGTCTTTCTGTAACTTGCCAGCGAATCAGGGGACTTATTAATCCATAGCTGAAGATACACTAGATTCCATGGAGATACTTCGTCGGCGATGAGACGTTACTGCATGTGCAGGTGTGTGACCATCGTATCCACAGTGTATTGACCGCTGCCCTTCTTTATATCCAAACATCGTATCGTCAGTGAGTAATCTCCACGCCTACAGTCCAGGTGTAACTCTATGTGGCATATGTATAAATCACCGTCAAAAAGAAAAAGATGTCAGAGAGTGGGCGAGATTGAGGAGAATGCAAAGTTGCGGCTAAGTACGATTCCGAAAGGAAAATGTAGAATATTTTGAAAAGTCGGAGGGACCCCGCCTACAATGAGTGTGATCCCAAAGGAAATATTTGAAGACGACTAAAGAACAGATTCTCCAAGGTAATCTATTTTTCGTTGATGGTGGAATCATTTCCAGATAGACTCTGTGTATATATGTGGGTAATAAGAACTCTAGTCGTGTTTTCAAATAGCCACATAACGTCTACATTTTTATGTGAATATCCCTCATTCTATCTGATCCATTCAGAAATGACTAAACTGCCAGCTATATATAAATATTTCTTCGGATCTATGTTTGGAAAATTCTTCAAGAGATTGAATCCTCGATGTCTTAAAAACAATCCTTCATCAGATCTTATAGACTGGCGCTACAGTATCATAAATTGGGAACTTCCCCAAATAACAGAAACCACGTCCCTTGAAGACTTCCAACATCAGTAACAACTAAAATGGATAGCACGTGGAACTAGAAGGAAGAATAATGATATAACAAAGATGCTGAATTTCTACACTACTTCAAACAAAAGGTTAAGAAGGAAATTCCCATCAAGAAATAGAAAGAGCTATAACCATTAGTAGCCTTGACGAAATTGCTTTACGAGAAACATTTTGTAAAGTTCAACCTACAGTAATGCATAAGGAATGTTTCCCTTAATCAAAACGCTTATTACACTGCGTCATATTCTCCATGATTTTTACCTTCAAAATACTAAAAACCTTTCCATTCAACAGTCTTGTTAGTTTGATGAATTGTATGTCATATCAACTCTTACTATGTTATTTGATATAAAGATATGTTTTTTTAATACTTTACTCAAAAGGTAATCATTGGTCGGGTTTATACTTGTGTCTACAAGGAAACATTGGTTTGATTTATATTTGAATCTATAGATGAACATTAGTCTGGTTTATATTTGAGTATAGGTAATCATATGAAGAGTTTATATTTGAATCTCTAATGAAACATTCATCGGCTTTACACTTGGGTATATAGGTCAACATTTTTAATACAATTTCCTTCTGGACGTAGGCGATTCTATCTCTGTATCGATTCATTTCTCTGTTAATTGCTATGAGTTCTTGTAAAAAATTGTTGAAGTTATTTTTTTTTCTGTTGTTCTCTCACAGATTATGAATTTAGAATTATCTTACTACAAGACTGAATGCCACTAATGAGAGAAAATCCAGTCTAACCTAATTTTTAACCCATTGCTGGAGACGGTAAATATTGTTCGGAATTATACTTGAGTCTGTAAGCATCCTCCTTGCTTAGCTGTGAATTAATCCACTGTTTTCTACATGATGACCAAAGGACACTCTTGTATTATGCGCGGGCTCAGTATGTTCAATTTTATCAAAAGATATCTTTCTTTTACGAAGGCGTACACATTTTAGCTGAAAACTGGTGACAAT